GAAACAACCTTGCCCATCCTATGCCTACCCATCCCTCCCTTGCAAGAGGCATGTTAACAGGACATGCAGCCAGCTCAGGGGCCTAGAGTAACACTAGCCTGACCCCTGATACAGTCTCCTACTCTAATGCAAAGCAGGGCTCCATAGATCCCACACTTCTATCGAAACATTTAGAAAATGGTCTGAAAATTGACACTGCCAAGCGTAACTTTTCCCTGTCTTCAGCACAGTCACCCCAAAAGGAAACAATGAATTACCTACATTTCAACCCAGACTTCCCTTCACAACTGAACCAAATGGCAGAGAGAACTAGAGAAGTGCCCAAAAGCTTCAGCAGAAGAGATCTAAACTAATTCTTACCAGGAGAAACACACACCAAAAATCCCCAAACACCACAGTTAAACAAACCACCCCAAAACAAACCAAAAAGTTTGGAAAAGGTGAGCTCGTAGAAGGCACACTGTATCTCAGAGGGGCAGACATTCATAGTAACATGAAACAGCATCCCTCAAGGGGAAACCAGGGCTGGAAAATATGATGGGCACCCCACAGCCAAACCAACATCTTACCCTCACAGTAATACCCACACCCCCTGAACCATACCCAGCATGCCTCTGCACACTTCCAGCACCCACACAAAAAGCTAAGGGGGACTAGGACTTGGTTCCCATGTTTCTCATTTTCTTTTCTGGACTGAAATAGTGTTTTGCCCCTGTTAGAGCAAGATTTATACCTGCTACAGGCTGAGAATGCCTTGGAGACAACGGGCTGCAGTACTGAAACAGCATGCACCCCTTCACATCAAGGCAGTATTCCCTCCATAGAGACAAGGTCCTCACACAAAGGATGTGTCAAAAGCTCCGGTGACCTCCACCTGGTGCTAACACAACCCAGCACTTCTCTAAGCACTGGGCCTAAGGGCAGCACAGAGCAGGAGCTCTACACTCAGGCACAAACTCTCTCAGCTTTTAGCTGACTTCCAAAACAGCCAGTTGTGCTCAGGCGATCCCTAGAGCACAGTCATAACCTTTCCCCAGATATCTGCCAGGGACTGCTCTTAAATATTAAAGCCCAGCTACAGGGTCTTAGGTACACTCTAATTCTTAGGCTGAACACATCCAACATAACAATGCTAAAAATTATTAGCCACATATTGGTGGATTGCTAGGCTGCATCCCAGATTTTCCCATATAAGGGAAAGTTGAAGGCATTGTCCTATCACACGGAAAACATATTACACCAGCCTGAGATATTACGAACAAAATCAGAGTCTCCTCATGTCACAAGCTGACACGCAGAGAAGCACATTTTTCCCTTTTTGCTGCCAGATTGGTCAGATATCCCAGCTCTGTTATTTCACCAGGGGCTGGTGCCAGATGATCATGGAGGATGGGACAGGCATTGCCCAGTGTGGTATTCACAGTAGGTGCTGCACAGGGCATGGGACTTCCTTAGAGGATTTTGGTCCCACCACCACCACACTTGAAAACACAGGCATTGACACTCTCCCACAGTCAAGGGTAATTCTGTTTCCATGGGTTTTTAGGGTGCTGAGAACCCACCACACAAACTCTGCATGTCACTAACACTCTGCCACAGCAAACACTGCTGCCCCACTGCATACAGGGCCCTTCATCCTGACCATCTTCTCTCCTCTTGGCAGCACCTGTTGGCCTCCAACAACCCCTCTGCCTCTGCTTTCACAGACCAGGGAGGACTACCAACACCAGAGGCTGACTCCACTGTCCCAAACAAAGTGAGGATGAGCAAGGAGAAATGCATTCACTGCTACTTGGAGGAGCAATGAAAAAAGCCCTCTCAAGTGTCCCAAGGCCCAGTGAGACATCCAACCACTGAGCTTGACAATGTCTCTTTAAGACACCCTCAGTGCAGCCTCCCCACGCATGCCTGCTTTCCAGACCAAACACGGGAGTCTGCATTCCCACAACAAGCACTACTGTCAGCACAAGGCTGATCAGCTCTTCCCCCTTAGTGAGGGTACGCTTCTCCTGCACACTAATGAGCATGATATCAGCTCTTATCTGCACAAAGCCCAGACAGGGCAGGACACCACAGCAAAACACAAAGGCCCACTCCGGCAGGCTCTCAAAAAACAAGTCTCACAAAGTCACTCAGCTCACAAAAACAAGTTCAAGTGCTTGTACAAAGCCCTCCTGAAATAACACAAACCACTGCAGTGAAACTCTTTATATTAACCACCTGTAGAAGTTTATGAGTTTGAAGAAACTCTTGATAAAATATTAAAGATAACTCAAGGAAGACTAGATCTTAAAAATTATTGTGATTACACAACTATTTTTGGGGTAGAGATTTACTTCCAACTGAATAAATGCAATAAAAAGCAGTCTGGAAAACTAGACACTCCTCTGTCACCCATCACTCCTCTGAGAGCCTCATCCAGCAAGCCACAAGAAATCAACAGACCCCAAGAAGACCCACAGCACTGAACCCTGGATCTAACATTGGAACACCCAGGGCCATCTGCTCAAAGACAAGCAGCACAGTCCCCTAATGCCATCATGCAGGACAATGGAGGAAGAGGTAAACTCAGGCCATTAAAGAGGCATATACTACTAAACTAGACAGCAGCACTCAGAACACAGTACAAAGGCCTCTGACACCACCTTCCATTAGAGATGTGCATTATTCACAGCTGCAGCATGGATAAAGACTGCAAGAGCCGCCTTAGTGTCAGATTCACACAGGACACACATATTGGCCTGCAGCAAGGGGCTGCAACTGCCTTCTCAGGGACAGGGCAGCCTGTGTTTCTGCTGGGAAGAATGAGAATAAAGGAATAGGCAGGAATAAACAGCCATGGCTGCAGGGTGGGCTTCAAACTTCATCAAAGTGCAACCAAACCAAATCACTTATTCTCAAAGTCTTCTCCTTAACTTCAGTTTTTGTTTGAAGAACAAAAAAAACATGTACTTTTAACTCTGCTGCTCGCATACATTTTGACATTTTGATCCAGCTCTCCTAGTTACTGTGTTTTTCAGCTTGAAGCACTTGAGGGGCAACATTCAATGAGCTTCACCCCACTGCTGTCATGCTGCCCATCTCTGCAGTGAAGGCAGTGCAGCAGTAAGTCCAGCACACCCGAAGGACCAGCAATAGCAGGTAGCTGTATCAATTCAGAGGCACGGGCTGAACTAGCATTCTCAAAAACAAATTTCGACTTTGTAATGGAAGAGAAAGCAATTTTCAGGAGAGAAATCCAGGAGCAGGCCTAAACCAAAACCAACCCAGCTCAAGGCCAAAAGCCTTGGGAGAGAAGCAACCTATTTACTTCAAGAAGATTGCTGTTACTGCTTCATACTTCAACAGTTTGACCAAAACTGCAATTTCTCTGTAAAGGAGCAGAGCAGAATTCCTGCATGAAGGAGGTAAACAAGAAACAAAGAGAGGCAAGACAGCACCTCTTCCCATACCATCCCCTGGGTAGGGCCCAAAGCAACAGCAACACTTCACAGCGGAGAAAACCCTCTCTGAGAACTCTGTTTCTTCTCCTCCGGCAACATTCCAATCCAACCAACTCCACAGAACTCAAACAGATACTCTGCAAATGAAAGGGTCAGGGACAAACATCTAACAAGACAACAGCATCTTTCTGCTCCCCAGGAGCCCCATGCTAGGGAGGCCAGTGCCAGCTGAGAGGTACTAGAAGCTTCTGCCCAGTCCCATCGGGCAGAAGCACAGCCAACCATCTCCATCCATCTCCCCTCGTTCTCCAACACCAATAAAATTTGCTGCATTTCCTAAGCAGGACGTAAACAAGAAAAAAGACTGGGCTTTTGGCTAGAAGCATCCTGACTCCCTGAAGAAACAAAGGAAGCATGTTTCATAGTAAAATTACCAAAATACTCTACCATATCAAAGGTCAGCAGCAGACCAGGCAGAACCAGCCTGCCTGGACCCACGGTCTCCGACTTCACTGCGAGTTCAGTGTAGCTGTCAGCAAGCAAATTGATAACCAGAGGGAGACCCACTCAGGCGGGTGCATGCCCGCAGCACCAACCTGAGTTGACAGTTTTGCTTCCTCCTCCTGTATTTGCGTGCGTGTCTCTCACAGCCGTCATCCTACAAATCTCATTGATCAAAGCTAAAATCCACCTCTATCACCAGTGAACGCCACTGATGAGAACAGGGGAACCCCACGGCGCGGCACCGACACGCAGCGGACGCGATGACTGCAGCGAGCCGCGGCTCCGCTGTGACTGCGATGCTTCTGTTGTGACATGGCTGCGATGTCACAACTGATCCGCGTCTGCTCCGCGCGCAGCGGACGGAACCGCGCTGACAGAGACGAGCCCGTGGCCCGGCGCGGTGGGAGAGGCCCTTCCACCGCATTCCCCCCGCGCCCTGGCTCGGCGGGGCCAGGCAGGGGGCGACCCGCAGCCTGGGGCCTCCAACGCGCAAAGGGACCCGCTTCCCCCCGACCGCCAAGTTTAAAGACTGAATTATTGATATCCTTGGGCACCGCAGCGGAGATGCCAGAGGGGAACTGCGCCCCGCGGGCGGGCTCCGGCACCCCGCACAGGGGGGGCTGGGGGGCGCTTCCCCCTCCCCGGCCGGGAGGAGCCTCGGCGCAGCACCGGGGGGAGCCTGCCCCGCCTCCGCCCCCGGCCCCGCACTCCCCGGGACCCGCCGCCGCTGCCGGGGGCGCTCGGCCCCACGCTGCCGGCCCAGAGCCGGCGAGGCCCGGTCGGGGGCGAACGGCAAGGCCGGCGAGGCGGGTCGCGGGCCCCCCGCGATGCCACGGCCCGGGCGGCGGGGAAGGTGGCGCGGAGGGACCCGGGGGCACCGCCGCCCCTCCCCGCGGCCGGAGCCATGACAGGGCCGGCGGCCGCCCCGGCCCCCGCCCGCCCCGCGGCCCGGGCCACCGCCACCGCGTTCATTCATAGCACCGCCTTGGCGCAGCCCCACCGCCGACCCGGCCCCGCCAGGCGGGCAAACCCAAAGTTCGGGGCAGAACTTACCCAAAATGGCTCCGCAGCCGCCCCAACACAAACAGCTTTTATTTGGTGAAGTTTAGCCCAGCACCCAGCAAGGACACCCTAACCTCGCTCGGGCCCGCCCCCGCAGCGCGCCCATTGGCTGCCCAGAGCCGCGCGCCGTCGCCCATTGGCGGGCCGGCCCGTCAGCCGCGCGCCGCTCGCGCCAAGCTTGGCTGCAGCGCGCCCGCCGCTCGCTCCATTGTGCTCCTGTTTGCACCGAAGAGAGCGCGGCGCTGATTGGCCGCACCGCCGCCCCCACGCGCCGTCGCCCCGCCCGCGCGCTCCACGTCCGCGCCCGCTGAGCGTTGCCCGGATGTGAACGGGAGCCGAGCCCCGCCCCGGGGCCCGCCCGCGCCGCCCCGGGACCGGCCCGCGCCGCCCCGGGACCCGCCCGTGCCACACCGCGACCCGCCCGTGCCGTGACCCGCCCGTGCC